GTAGAAAGGGGGTGCAAAACTTCATTCCATAGGAAGTAATTCTCCTACCATATTTGTCAGTTCCAGCCTCTAGATTTTTAAGAAGGTGGAGACGGAGAACGGGACCTGCAGAGGGGAGGCGAGGCTCAGGAATGGTCTTGTCCTCTTACTGATGATTTTCTGAATTTCTACTGCCTTTATTAATAGTAATTATTAACAGCTACCCACCCAGCATCACTACAAAAACCTTCATTGTTATTTTGAAATTGTAAGAACAATAAAATGCATAAGGTAAAAATAGAAACTCTAAAAAATATACAAAGTATCCTTAGCAGCCCTGACTCTGTGACTCTGGTCTTCTCCGCGTTTCTGCCGCAGGTAACTGCTGTCAACCGCCAGTGTGTCTTCCCAGGCTTTTTTCTAAGCATTTACAAACACACACGTGTGTATAGTGATATATGTTAAATAGATTCTGTATGACATACACACAGGAATCACATGCTAGGACTTAACCGTAGCTTCCAAAATATCTGACAAACCTTCATAAGTAACTTGTTTTTGCGACGTCCTTGCTTTAACAAAGGAACTTGATGTTTGCCTTCCCAGAAGTTATTTATTCATTTGTAAAGACCAGTTTATTGACTTTTAGACAGAAGGGAGGGGGAGAGAGAAACGTCGTGGACGTGAGAGCACAGCACTGACACCCACGGGCTGCCTCGCACCCCCCACCAGGGTTTGCGCCCACAACCGGGCACGTGCCCTGACGGGGAATCAAACCGGTGACCTTCCGGTGCTCGGGATGGTGGTCAACCACTGAGCCACACGGACCAGGGCATATGTGCCCAGCGCTTAGCTGGGCAGCCCCGTGTCAGCTGAGACCCAGAGCGCCACCCTAGACGGGGAAGGGTGCTGCTGGCCCGCCTGTAGCCGCCGCCCCATCCCCGAGTTAGTCTCACCACCTGCCGCCGGGGGTGCGGGCGACCTGCTGGCCCGAGCAGAGCTTTTCTCCGGGGGCCCCGGGCGGGCCTCGCGGTCCCGCGCAGAGGCCGGGTGCCTCCTACACGCCCCCCGGGGCGGCGGC